AAGTATATGAATGTGCTCTTTCTCCGTTTAAATGTCTTAGTCTGGGATACTCGAATGTTCCCAAGGGTACTCAGAAGTATCTCTTTATATTATCCTAAATATTGTCTACCATTCTTATCAGTATTGATTAATATGCCTTATTTGGGAATCTTCTATACCATTTAGATATTTCTATGATCCAAATTTCTGCCTCTAATATCTTTTAACCCCACTACCTATGTTATCACGTAATTTTGTGTACCTGTCAATGAATGGTACAATAACAGCTAGACACGTTTTATAACCATTCACAGCTGACGTAGCATGACAGTTGTGAGTGCTTATAACACGCGTCTATCTGTTATTGAACCATACATTGACAAGTACACAAGATTACGTGATAACATAGGTAGTGTGGTTAAAGGATATTAGAAACAGAAATTTAGATCACAGAAATATTATCGAAATGGTATAGAAGATTCCCAAGTACGGCATGTTAATCGATACTGAGAAGAATTGTAGACAATATTTAGGAAATAAAAAGAGTTACTTCTGTGTATCCCTGGAAACACTCTCGTACCTCAGAGCAGGACATTTAAACTGACAAAGAGCACATTCATTTCCTTTCTTTCATTAATTAAGAAGGTTACGCAGAATAATAACTATCAATATATATAGTATCCACTGAGAAACGTATTTTCTCTTCTCAAGTCACATGACATGTTCTAAGCGGCTAGAAAAAACTTGGGACTGGCTATTATATCTTCTAATTTTATAATGCTTGACATCTCAAAACCCTCCTACCTCATATTGGGGGAAGGGGGATGGTGGTGGTGGCGCGGGGTTGGCACCAACCTTTGGTGCATCATCAGGAGCATTGCACAGCTCCTGATGATGCACTGAGAAGTGTGAAAGTATTTGAGCTAAAGATTTCCACCTCCCCGTGCCCTCCGTGTCTTGTCTTGCACACACACACACACACACACACACACACACACACACACACACACACACACACACACACACACACACATATATATATATATATATATATATATATATATATATATGTATGTATGTATGTATATATTTATATATATATATTACAGGGTGTGTGGGTGACTGGGCTTAGAACAATGTACATGCTGACCTTTTTTAAGTCTTTAAGACGATGCATGTATTTAAGTGGATATTAACAGTGCTTGGTTATACTCCCTTGTCTTCTCCCTCTTTTTATGTCCTATGTGCATTTGTCTTTCACATGTGTGGTATCTATGTGCTCTTTATCTTTCAAACATGTGGTACCTATGTGAAGTTATTTTTCAAACAAATATCATATTTACAATTTAGTTAACTGCAGTATACCATTGCAATAAGTTAAACATTGACAAAGGTATCTGCTCTTCATAAACATTTAGTGTTGTTACTCAGGATGTGTGGAGCGGCCAGAATTAGTGTGTTAATGTGATTGCTTCTGAAGGTCAGTGGAAATAAATCACAAACGATCTTAATTGCATTTCTTCAATGTGTCATTTTCTTTCTCGGTTTTAGAAAAATACTATCTATCTAACTATCTATCTATCTATCTATCTATCTATCTATCTATATATCTATCTATCTATCTATCTATCTATATCTATCTATCTATCTATCTATCTATCTATCTATCTATATATATATATATATATATATATATATATATATATATATATATATATATATATATATATATATATTGTATGTGTGTGTGTGAATTTGATGAAGAGAAAGGAGATACCGGACCCCAAAAGTGCAAAATTTGCTTCTTCTTGGAAACAAGAGAAACATCTTTCTTTTTTTCCAATAAGAAACAAAAATAATATTGAAATCTCCTCCAAAGGGAAGACATGATTCTCTACTTTAAGGGAGAAAATACAGTACCGGAGAGAGAGTGGGAGAGAGAGAGAGAGAGAGAGAGTGGAGACACGAATGTTCTCTACTAAGAAGACAAAATAATTGTCTCAGCAGCATATGACATTTTCAGATTAAAAGAAACTAAGAAAAAGATATATTGAAGTTCGTGAGATATTATTTTAACAATATTTATGACTTTTATTAATAATGTGTGTATGTGTACTCATTTGTAGTTGCAGGGGGTCGAGTCACGGCGTCTTCGCTGGTCGCTACTAGGTCCACTCTCTCTCTCTCTGCTGCAAGAGTTTTATCGTATCTCTTCTTAAAATTGTGTATGGATCCTGCCTCCACTACATCACTCTCCAGATTGTTCCACTTCCTGAGAACTCTGTGACTGAAGAAATACTTCCTAACATCCCTGTGACTCATCAGAGTTTTCAACTTCCAGTTGTTAGCCCTTGTTACTGTGTCCCAACTCTGAAACATCATGTCCCTATCCACCTTGTCAATTACTCTCAATATTTTACATGCTGTTATCATGTCTCCCCTATCCTTCCTGTCCTCCAGTGTCGTCAGGTTGATTTCCCTTAACCTCTCCTCGTAGGACATACCCCTTAGCTCCGGGACTAGTCTTATTGCAAATCTTTGCACGTTCTCTAATTTCTTGAGGTGCTCGACCAGGTGAAGGCTCCACGGTCTACAGAGTCTTGAATGATTCCTTTCTTAGTTGTCGAAACGCTGTTCTTAGGTTTGCCAGGCGCCCATATACTGCAACAGTTAATTGGCTGATGTGTGCCTCAGGAGATGTGCTCGATATTCTTTTCACCCCAAGATCCTTTTCCTTGAGTGAGGTTTGCAGTCTTTGGCCTCCTAGCCTGTACTCTGTATGCGATCTTCGGTGACCTTCCCCAGTCTTCATGATTTTGCACTTGGTGGGGCTAAACTCCAGGAACCAATTGTTGGACCACGCTTGCAGCCAGTCCGAATCTCTTTCTAGTCCTACATGATCCTCAACCACTTGAATTCTCCGCATTAATTTCACATCGTCTGCAAACAGGGACCCCTCTAAATCTATTTCTTCCGTCATATCATTCACATATCCCAGAAACAGCACCGGCCCTAGGACTGACCCTTGTGGTACCTTGCTAGTCACACGCACCCATTCTGGCACCTCTTCGCGTATCATCACTCGTTGTTTCCTTCCTGTCAGGTATTCGCTAATCTATTGCAGTGCCTTTCCTGTTATTCCTGCCTGCGCCTCTAGCTTTTGCACTATTCTCTTGTGTGGAACAGAGTCGAAAGCCTTCTTACATGTAGTTCAAGGAATTGCAGTCTACCCAGCCTTCTCTCTCCTCTTTTATTTCTGTCTTTGTCGAGAAACTCCAGTAGGCTTGTGACACAGGATTTTTCCTCCCTGAAACCCTGCTGGTTATCGCATATAAACTTAATCCTTTCTAGGCGATCCACCAGTCTTTTCCCAATAAGCTTCTCCATGACTTTGTGTACTATACATGTCAGTGACACTGGTCCCATCTTCTTTCTTAAAGATTGGAACTACATTTTCTGTCTTCCACACCTCAAGTAGTTCTCCTGTTTTGATAGATGTGTTGAAGATTATTGTTAGTGGCATGCACAGTGCTTCTTCTCCCTCTCTCAGGATCCACGGACAGGTGTTGTCCGGTCCCACTGCCTTTGAGATACGTAGCTCACTTAGCAGCATCTTCACCTTCTCCACGGTTGTGTGTAGCGTGTCCATCACTTGATGGTGTACCCTACCATCCCGGTTTGCTGGAGTCCTTTCTGTCTCCACTGAAAATACTTCCTGAAATCTCATATTGAACTCTTTTCATTTTTCTTGGTCGTTTCTTTTGATCTCTTCTCCTTCCTTCTTCAGCCTGATTACCTGGTCCTTGACTGTTATTTTCCTGATGTGGCTGTACAACAGCTTTGGGTCAGATTTGGCTTTCGATGCTATGTCATTCTTGCATTGCCGACGGGCCTCCCTTCTTATCCATGCATCATATTTTCATGGGTCCTTTGTCTTCTATACTTTTTCCATTCTTAAGCACACTTCGTTTTCTCCTTTGTACACTTTTCGGTTAACCAAGGGCTCGTTCTGGTCTTCCCGTTGTTTCTGTTTCCCTTGGGTACGAATTTCACCTCCCCCTACTTGCATTTTGTTGTCACGTATGCCATCATTTCATTTACTGTTTTCCCCACCATTTCTCTTTCCCATTGTTCCTCATGCAGGAAATTTCTCATGCCTGCGTAGTCCCCTCTTTTGTAGTTTGGCTTCTCCCATCTTACACATGCTGCTTCCCTCTCCACTTTTAACATTATATTCGAAACTCAGAACTTCTTGATCACTCGGTCCAAAGGGTCTTTCATATGTGTACTCACTTAATTGTGATTGCACGGGTCGAGTCATAACACCTGGCCCCGCCTCTTCACTGGTCGCTATTAGGTCCACTCTCTCCCTTCTCCATGAGCTTTATCATACCTCTTCTTAAAGCTATATATTGATCCTTTCTGACAACACTATGACTGAAGAAATACTTCTTAACATCCCTGTGACTGATCTGAGTATTCAAACTACAGTTGTGATCCGTTGTTCCTGTGTCCCGTTTCTGAAACATCCTGTCTCCGTTTCACCCATGTCAGTTCTTCTCAGTATTTTATATGTTGTTATCATGTCCCCCCTATCCCTCCTGTCCTCCAGTGTCGTCAGTGTGTATGTGTGTGTGTATGTGTGTGTGTGTGTGTGTGAGTGTGAGTGTGAGTGTGAGTGTGAGTGTGAGTGAGAGATTTTGGTGAAGATTACCAATGGATGTTACGAAGGTTTTAGACTTCGATATTAAGCCAGAATAACACAAACATTCACATTGAAATAAATATCTGTATTATATACATACATAAATGTGTGCACATTTGCGCACTTAGCAACGTTTTCCGTTGTCCTAAGAAACTTTGACAAAAAATGCTGTAACTAATTATAATCCTGTATTTTGAATTATTTTTATAAAACACTGTATTTGTTATTAAAGTATGAAGTATCTCTTCCGCTATACTTTACAGCAGTCTCTTCCTGCTTTCTTAACTAACAAAGCTCTTGTTCGTCTTGGCTGCAGCCGCCCGCAACAATATCTTGAAGCCGTTCCCCAACGCTTCGTCTGAGTCTGACCTCTCGAGGTACCGCACCAGACTGATGGGTAGGGATCGTAAGAGTCCCTCACTCAGTAACCTGACAGCTGAAGGCATCAAGCACAAGGTGAGAATGTGTAGAGCACGTGTGTGGTACCACAGTTATTTTCTTAAGGCAAGACAATTAAGGTGATCATTATTGTTCAATTCACTGGTAGAGCGGTGATGAGGTAGTCCAATAAATATGATACTGTGTGTCTGTATGTATATGATAAATACCACAATAAGAACAAAATGTGTGTTCCTTGGACCTTCTTTGTAGTTCCTCTGAAAATATATGAAAGCATAGGAAAGCTTATATGTATTTTATTCTGTAAGTTTTTAACGGTACTATATTTTCATAACTAATCATGCGTTTTATAGCGATTTCTTTATGTATGTGTACTCACTGATTAGGCGATTTTGATCGCTATTGCTAATTTGTGGTCTCATGAGCCAGTTTGTGCATGAGAGTAAAAATGTATGGGAACGTAGGTTCAGGTAGGTCAACAAGACAACAACTGGCCGCTTTTCTTGATGTGTAATATCAAGATAAGTTTGTGAACAATACATGTAACATGGACAAGATACATCCTTGGCACATTTTAATTAGGGAACTCTAATTACAGGTTACAAGTATGTACTGCCTTGAACAGCTGCTGAAGAAGTTTTTTTGGTCGTGCGTGAGATTATAATGGTTAAATTATGCTCTGTCCTTGGCTACTGACTGATGGGTGAGGAACCAGAGGGAACAGAACTTTCATTATTACATCTGTAACTATCTGAATAATTTTTCAGTGTTATTTTCGCAACGCAGACACAACATTATTAGCAGGAAATGTCTGTTGGTCATGAGGTTGATTAATTAATAAATCTGTGAGTCAACAGCCCAATTGAAAAATCGTAAAAAATAAAGAACGTAAACACAAGGACAGACTTTTTTGTGTGTGAATAAGATAATGGACAAGTCTGTAAACAAACCAATAAAAACATTTGCATATTTCTAAAGTGACATTGGGAAGATGAAAGTTCTGCACTTGTCAGTGCCTCAGCCTCGTGTTGAGCTCCATTACCAACTGATATTGATAAAAATGCCACAAAAAGTGACGTCCAGGTAATTAAATCCATTTGATTCAACGGTAATGGAATTTCTGCTCGACTAGCAGCTGGTCACATTTCCCTGCAAAATAGACATTACTATACCTTCATGGTATATTATTTTGTAGGATTAATTGTATAATTGCAATTTTATTGGCCGTTGGTTTAAATAAATCTTAACGTGGAATTATTTACTCGTGGAACAAATTGTTATAACGAGGATGAAGCAATAGTGAAATGAAACAACCAGAGTAAATTATTACTGCAAGATTTTTTTTTTCAATATAGATCATAGAGTGAACACATAGTTCATAGTGAACACATAGATCATAGTAAACACATAGTTCATAGTGAACACATAGTTCATAGTGAACACAGATCATAGTGAACACATAGTTCATAGTGAACACATAGTTCATAGTGAACACATAGATCATAGTGAACACAGTTCATAGTGAACACATAGATCAAGTAGGAACACATAGTTCATAGTGAACACATAGTTCATAGTGAAACAAACATAGATACATATGTGAACACAGTTCATAGTGAACACATAGTTCATAGTGAACACATAGTTCATAGTGAACACATAGATCATAGTGAACACAGTTCATAGTGAACACATAGTTCATAGTGAACACATAGTTCATAGTGAACACATAGTTTCATTAGTGAAACACATAGATCATAGTGAAACACATAGTTCATAGTGAACACAGATCGTAGTGAACACATAGTTCATAGTGAACACATAGTTCATAGTGTAACACATAGATCATTATGTGAACACATAGTTCATAGTGAACACATAGATCATAGTGAACACAGTTCATAGTGAACACATAGTTCATAGTGAACACATAGTTCATAGTGAACACAGTTCATAGTGAACACATAGATCATAGTGAACACAGTTCATAGTGAACACATAGTTCATAGTGAACACATAGTTCATAGTGAACACATAGTTCATAGTGAACACATAGATCATAGTGAACACATAGTTCATAGTGAACACAGATCGTAGTGAACACATAGTTCATAGTGAACACATAGTTCATAGTGAACACATAGATCATAGTGAACACATAGTTCATAGTGAACACATAGTTCATAGTGAACACATAGATCATAGTGAACACATAGTTCATAGTGAACACATAGTTCATAGTGAACACACAGATTCATAGTGAACACATAGTTCATAGTGAACACAGTCATAGTGAACACATAGTTCATAGTGAACACATAGTTCATAGTGAACACATAGTCATAGTGAACACATAGTTCATAGTGAACACATAGATCATAGTGAAACACATAGTTCATAGTGAACACATAGTTCATAGTGAACACATAGTTCATAGTGAACACATAGTTCATAGTGAACACATAGTTCATAGTGAACACATAGTTCATAGTGAACACATAGTTCATAGTGAACACATAGATTCATAGTGAACACATAGTTCATAGTGAACAACATAGTTCATAGTGAACACATAGTTCATAGTGAACACAGATCATAGTGAACACATAGTCATAGTGAACACAATAGATCATGTTGAACACAGTTCATAGTGAACACATAGATCATAGTGAACACATAGTTCATAGTGAACACATAGTTCATAGTGAACACATAGATCATAGTGAACACAGTTCATAGTGAACACATAGTTCATAGTGAACACATAGTTCATAGTGAACACATAGATCATAGTGAACACAGTTCATAGTGAACACATAGTTCATAGTGAACACATAGTTCATAGTGAACACATAGTTCATAGTGAACACATAGATCATAGTGAACACATAGTTCATAGTGAACACAGATCGTAGTGAACACATAGTTCATAGTGAACACATAGTTCATAGTGAACACATAGATCATAGTGAACACATAGTTCATAGTGAACACATAGATCATAGTGAACACAGTTCATAGTGAACACATAGTTCATAGTGAACACATAGTTCATAGTGAACACAGTTCATAGTGAACACATAGATCATAGTGAACACAGTTCATAGTGAACACATAGTTCATAGTGAACACATAGTTCATAGTGAACACATAGTTCATAGTGAACACATAGATCATAGTGAACACATAGTTCATAGTGAACACAGATCGTAGTGAACACATAGTTCATAGTGAACACATAGTTCATAGTGAACACATAGATCATAGTGAACACATAGTTCATAGTGAACACATAGTTCATAGTGAACACATAGATCATAGTGAACACATAGTTCATAGTGAACACATAGTTCATAGTGAACACACAGATCATAGTGAACACATAGTTCATAGTGAACACAGATCATAGTGAACACATAGTTCATAGTGAACACATAGTTCATAGTGAACACATAGATCATAGTGAACACATAGTTCATAGTGAACACATAGATCATAGTGAACACATAGTTCATAGTGAACACATAGTTCATAGTGAACACATAGTTCATAGTGAACACATAGTTCATAGTGAACACATAGTTCATAGTGAACACATAGTTCATAGTGAACACATAGTTCATAGTGAACACATAGATCATAGTGAACACATAGTTCATAGTGAACACATAGTTCATAGTGAACACATAGTTCATAGTGAACACAGATCATAGTGAACACATAGTTCATAGTGAACACATAGATCATAGTGAACACATAGTTCATAGTGAACACATAGATCATAGTGAGCACATAGTTCATAGTGAACACATAGATCATAGTGAACACATAGTTCATAGTGAACACATAGATCATAGTGAACACATAGATCATAGTGAACACATAGATCATAGTGAACACATAGTTCATAGTGAACACATAGATCATAGTGAACACATAGTTCATAGTGAACACATAGTTCATAGTGAACACATAGTTCATAGTGAACACATAGTTCATAGTGAACACATAGATCATAGTGAACATATAGTTCATAGTGAATACATAGTTCATAGTGAACACATAGTTCTTAGTGAACACATAGATCATAGTAAACATATAGTTCACAGTGAACACATAGTTCATAGTGAACACATAGTTCATAGTGAACACATAGATCATAGTGAAAACATAGTTCATAATGAACACATGGATCATAATGAACATATAGTTCACAGTGAACACATAGTTCATAGTGAACACATAGTTCATAGTGAACACATAGTTCATAGTGAACACATAGATCATAGTGAACATATAGTTCACAGTGAACACAGTTCATAGTGAACACATAGTTCATAGTGAACACATAGATCATAGTGAACACATAGTTCATAGTGAACACAGATCATAGTGAACATATAGTTCACAGTGAACACATAGTTCATAGTGAACACATAGTTCATAGTGAACACATAGATCATAATGAACATATAGTTCACAGTGAACACATAGTTCATAGTGAACACATAGATCATAGTGAGCACATAGATCATAGTGAACATATAGTTCAGAGTGAACACATAGATCATAGTGAGCACATAGTTCATAGGGAACACATAGTTCGTAGTGAACATATAGTTCATAGTGAACACATAGTTCATAGTGAACACAGATCATAGTGAACATATAGTTCATAGTGAACACATAGTTCATAGTGAACACATAGTTCATAGTGAACATATAGTTCATAGTGAGCACATAGTTCATAGTGAACACATAGTTCATAGGGAACACATAGTGCGTAGTGAGCATATAGTTCATAGTGAACACATAGTTCATAGTGAACACATAGATCATAGTGAACACATAGATCATAGTGAATACATAGTTCATAGTGAACACATAGTTCATAGTGAACACAGTTCATAGTGAACACATAGATCATAGTGAACACATAGTTCATAGTGAACACATAGTTCATAGTGAACACATTGATCATAGAGTGAACACATAGATCGAGTGAACACATAGATCGAGTGAACACATAGATCATTGAGTGAACACATCACAGAGTG